CAAAATTAGAATTAAAGTTATGAGGACTAAAATAACTTATTTTGAAACTTTTTATATTAAGGGTATTTTAGGTAGTTTATCTATTTGAATAGTGAAATGGGTTAGTTTGGGGTTAGTTTGGAATTTTGGCTTTGAATTTGGGTCATTTGCTTGTATTTCCCGTGTAATCAGACCAATTTGTTCCCCATTTATCATGAAGGAAAATCTGGCCGTTGACTTACAATTATGGATTAAACTGCACCAATGTTCTTGGGAAAACCCAAAAGTCTCATTAGACAAAAAGAATCCATGAGCTGGAGTGCTGATATCTGACTTCTGTTATCAACCGTCCTGGGACGAAGGCGCTTTGGTTTGGTGAAATAATGTCAGAAGGAACGCCTTTCAACTGACTCGCAATTCTTTGTAATGATTTTGTCGAGAACATCACAAAAAAAGAATAATGGGTCGAAACTCCATGATACTTTTCGGGCATTTAACCTTAGAATTAGGACCACATAAGTGGCGTTCATGTTTAACAACTGCTGGCCATTCAACACACTCGTACAATAATCTGTCACCTCAGCCCCTACAGCATCCCAATTGTGCTGATAAAAGACGGCATGATTCCCATCCAGACCAGAAGCCTTGAAAGAACCCATTTCGAATAAAGACGCTCTAACTGCATCAGCTGAAAATGGTTCTGCCAAATAGTGGAATTCTTCAGATGTAATTCTCATATTTAAGTCACTTAGTGCTGTTCCGATTTGTTCCTCAGACGGTTGCCGAATCAGTTAAATGGATTGTCAAAATGTCTGCGGGCAGATCAACTCTAAAAGTACCACAACTATCCACAAGTCCCATTATCTCATGGAAAATTCCATTAGCTCATGGTTGCCCATTCCCAGCTATTCTTTTATCTCTAGATAAGTTCTTGTAGCCAAGGCTTGCTTCCCGCTTGTGAACTTCGTTGTCACTCAAATTTACCAAGAAGGTAACCGTGTGGCTGACTGCATAACAGAGTCCTTAGCATTATTGCTCCTACATTGTGCTAGACTGCTCTTTGTTCTTTTATCTCTAATGATAACGATGTTTGTAGTGTACGTGGATGAGGTTGTGTAGACAATAAGGGTGCTATGAAAGTATTAGAATAGTATACATGTATTCCTAACATCAACAAAATATAAAAATATAAGATTCTTCTATTCAAATCATCAATACATTCTAACATCCACCATAGTCGAATCTCTTGTGCAGAGATTTCTAACATGAAAATATGCTGAAAACCTTGTGCAAGTTATGCCTCCACAAAGATCTTTGGTGCATATTTAGAACCTTTGACTTCCCACATCATTTAGAGTTAAAAGAAGTTCCAACATACATGCCCCATATAAAACATACATATAAATCAGGGAAAATACTGAAAACATCTCTTTCCAAATAAAAATAAGCAACTGATGAAACATTCAAACTAACAGCTGTTCAAAGATTAATGTCCGGCAAAAAATGCCAGCTTATGGAAAACGAACTAATTAAGCAAGAAACATAAAATAGGTGATCCTGGCGAACAAAATCTCTATTATATTTCTGAATTGATTGTAGATTTCTCACTTGAGAGGAATGAACCTTGAGGAGTGGGTGGCACCAATACCAGGTCTACCGTGCTTGACTGGCTTGTACGAGATTGAGAACTCGGCAAGATAGTGGCTGATCATTTCTGGCTTGATTTCAACTGTATTGAAGGTCTTACCATTGTACACTCCAATGA